CTTTTCAAGGCAGATAAAAGTGTTCTCATATTGTGGCAGTGGTTACACAACTGTATGATACTCAGACCTTTGAATTATACAATCACTTATGTATGTACTGTTTGACATATGAAATATAATTTAATGAAACTTAAATAAAAAGTATGCTCCACAATATCGAGTGATTACAGAATGACCAACAGAGTCTCCCATAACTTACCAAGTACCTTGCTCATGCGATACAGTTTTGGCATGATTTTCCAGGGGTTGGGGGTTAGGCAGGGATGTAGATAAATCAGGAATTTAAAGAGGAAGGGAATAGTCAAAATTGGAAAGGAGAAAAAACAAGTTAGCAGAGGACATAGAAGGCAGACGTGAGGATGTGCCAGCAGGTGAAGGAAAACTGGTATTTAAGTTGGCAGGAAATGTCTTGGGGTGTAACGAGGTCCTATTCATTTCCTTCAGAGATTCTTCTCCTCTTGGTTACCATAGAAAAAATTAGTTCATAGGACTAATAACGTAAGTGTCACTAAAGACTGCAGATTCAAAATTGAGAGGCTGTCCTTTTCACAGCTTAATTTAATAAGTGTAGTTTCATGTTTAGGTTAGGTAGTGAACTTGAGAACTTAACAATGAAGACACCAGTAAGGAAGCATAACCATTATATAAAAGTTAAGCTCTAAGGTCAAGGTCAGTGTGGAAGTAAAGACTCTGGCTGTTATATTTCAGTATAGAAAAAGTAAGTGGAACAAAAATATCCTATAGAAATGTCACTGAGAACAACACCATCACATCATACTGAATCTGTATTGTATTTATTAGTATCATCTAATGTCGGGTATTACTACATATTCATATGTAATTATGCTTTCCGTGGCAAGATGATTCTTTCTAATCTGAAATATTATCACTATTCTCATGTTAAAATCATATTTAATTTTTACATATCAAGACATTTAAATTACCTGGCTCTTACAAAATGCATGTCTCTGTTTCATATATTCAGGATAAAATTATGAAATAGAAAGTGTCTTAACAGTGTTTTCTCTTGTGGCTTTGCATAATGCTGGTCTTTACCTACCAAGAATGTTTTTTTAAAAAAGTAAACACTAGGGGCTGGGGATTTAGCTCAGTGGCATAAGCACTTGCCTTGCAAGCAGGAGGTCGTGAGTTCGATTCCTGATACCGATAATTTTAAAAAAAAATTTTAAAAAAGTAAACACTAATTGCATGTATATCCACAAATGTATATCTATTTCATTTCAATGAAATAGAACGTGTTTATTGTTTGTTCATTCATAAGTGTACCTAATATTTATTGAACCCATGCTTTGTGGGAGGTATTATTCTGCAGATGAATAAGCTATTGCTGCCTCTTGGAATATTCGACTTAGGAGCTAATAGTAATAAACTTATTTTTAAACAATTGACCCAAATGTTTTTAAAGTAATTTTGGGGCAAGCACACAGAAAATCCTTAAAAGCCAAACACACTTTTATTCATCCCTGACCTTGGTGGCCCTTTAGCTGTCTTATGGTGCACACTAGTGAGTCTCACGCCCTCACCAGTTCATTTAAACCATCAGGCACAGCTTTATCTTACCGTTCGCTCTTCTGAGCATCATTTCCTACTCTTCTTCATTCTATACATGCAATTCTAAATTAATTCAAGTTAAAAAACATTATATTCCTCAGGAATCCCTTCTCGTGCTTTTTGGCCCAAGCCAAAAGGCAGTAAGAATGTAAATCTTGTTCCACTTCTTTGATGAAACAGAAAAGCGCCCATTCAGAGGTGCAGCTGGTCTTTGTGATGGCACTTCATCCCGAATGACTGGATGGCCAGAAGCGAGACTCAACCACGCATGCAGGCACATGACTTTCACTGTGCCACTGTCACAGCAAATGGCAGGCTGAAAGTCAAGTCCTGCATAGTGCCTTATTTTTTCTATTGTATGCACACACAGTTTGTGCAAAAAGTTAACACTTGGATGTCAGAAAACTCCTATGGTACACAAAATAAAAACTTCAAATAAAAGTTACTAGAGTGATAACTCATGTTGCCATCTGTGGCTCTCAGAACCTGTCCCCCAAAGTGGCAGCTGTCAGTTCCTTATCTTTGTAGAGAAACTCTACCAGAGTACTACCAGCAGCCTGTTTTATTTCCTCCAAAGCCAGGCACTGTATTGCATACCATTAAATATTAATAGTATACAGTTATACAAGAAAAACGAAATGCAGGTTAAACAGCGTATGTAGTTTGTTTCCAGTGTTGAGAATAATCCATGAGAGGGAATGTGGAGAGCAGTAATAGTAAGCCAAGGTGTTTTCAGTAATACCTAGGGTGGAGTGGTCAGGACAGGGAGTCACTTTCTTTGGTAGCCAACTCCCCATTCTGTTGAACTCTTAAATAAGAACATACAAGCTTTTCATGGTAAAGTTTTAAAGAGGTCTTATAGTGTGTAAATTCATACTTGGTGTGAGGGGTTTGTGGGTCTTCAGGCTTTGGATATAACCAGTTTTCTTTATAAGGTCCAAGTCAGTGAGTTAATGATCCTTGAGTTGATGATACCAAGTTGAACTAAGAGTAAACTCTCAGAGGAGAGTAGTTTTTACTCAAGGCTTATGTCTTTGATGAGAACCAAAATTAGGAGAAGGGAAAGCAAAGATTATGTTAAATGATATACTATTGCGTTTCTAGTCACAGATTGCTCCACTGACTATTATTTTCTGAATATCCAGCTTAACCCAAGAACCATATTAAAGTTACCATTTGTAATTGTAGTAATTGTGTATTCTAAATAGTTGAGGCTCCCGGCCTCCAAATTGAAGAATACCACAAAATACATATAAGAACTAAGAATGCTCTTGGCAAGTAACATTCCTCAACAGTAACTTGGTAACAGTATTCCCAGTGAACTTTAAATCTGCTATTAATTACTCTGAGTATATCTTCTGTTAGAAATTGGTGGTTGTATAGGGGGTGCTTAGCATAATAAATTTTACTTATAATACACATGAAGGGGATTGCAATATACCAAAGAGAGGAATAGCTAGATGAATTTAGGCAAATGACGAGATAATATGATAGGCTATTAGTCATCATTAAACAACATTTTTACAGACAAACTGATAACACAAGGAATTATTTACAAATGTTAAATGTAAATGAATAATATAAATCTTCATGCTTTAATTTGTCAAAAATATATGTTTTTTTTATATGTATGCAAGGGCAATTTCTTCCTTTTCAAATACTTCAAACAATCTTACTGAGTTGCTAAAGAAAATAATTTAAGGTTACGGTTTTTTTTTTCTTTTTTTACTGTCAATTGAAAGGTTTTTAAAGATTTTTTTAAATGATTTTTCTCACCTCTCGATGTGTGAGAACTCTGTCTTTTCTAATATTGTCAGTAATTTTTAAAATCATATTTTTATTTCACATCTGCTGTATTCATTCACAAACCTGAAGATGAACATCAATATGTAGTACTTCTTTCCTTTAGGTTCAGTGGAATTTTACTCCGTAACTGATTAAAGAATATCCTTTTATCATTGGGCGTTGTAAGTCTCAAATACTAGGTCACTGGTTTTATTCTTTTCTTACAAGACAGGCACATTGTAGTAATTTTACAAGTTATTTTTCAGTTTTCTTTTTACTTTGAGTTACTTTCTGTTTTAGGGAAAATAGCTCATTATTATCAAATAACATTAGGTTTCCAATGAAATCATTTATGTCATAGGGGGATCTAATTGTCTTTGGAAAGCTGTAATTCTATGTGTATGTGTTTACTGTAAATGCTCCATAGTTTAAGTGTTCCTAATGTGCTCACTATGGATTAATTATGTTGTAAGTCAGGGACAAGTGGCATTTGTATACATATGCTCTAAGAATGTAAATCAATAATATATATGAATACTCAACCTGATGGTAATATAAAATACAGGTGTTTGTGTGTGTGTGTGTATGTATGTGTGTGTGTGTGTGTGTGTGTGTGTGTGTGTGTGTGTGTGTGTATTCATAATTCACTGTGTCCGAAGGTTGAAGCCAGGCAGAAGCAGCAGAATCAGTTCAAAATAGCTTTCCCTGTGAAGGAAATGTGCTTGAGTATGAAGCAGAAATCTCAGTGTTAGTTTTACATTTCTGTTTGATGAAATCTAAGGCTATGGAAACGACTGTAAAAATAATTTGTCTGAAGGAAGTCTGGATGCAGAGACCTAAGAGAAAATATTTGAGAATATGGTTCATCGTGCAGTGCAACAGAGCCTCTTCCCCAAGCACCACATGGTGTGGATCAAAGCATCCCATGACTTGGATCCGTGTGGCCAAATCATTACGTATTGATTGGAACCCCACTGATGCATTAACCCTTTCCTACCCTTCCCAAGTTTTCTCTCTTTCCTTGAGTAATTTTAGAAATGTAATGTTCCTGCCTCTATTAGCTTTTTGTGTTTTTTTTTTAAATTAACCATCTACTTGGATATACTTGTTTTGTCACTATCATTCTAAATTACTATTTAATTATACTATAGTTTGAGTAAAATTAACTTGTGAAAAAAGATAACACTTATGTGAAAGCAATTTCAGTGAATCAGAGGAAGAAAAAATGTATCACATTCTGGGTAGAAAACATAGCAAAAGAATCCCAAAATCAAATAGAGATTTTATAATCTTTAACAAAGATTAAATAAGTTTTGTAGCTTTTTAAGGAATTCTTTGCTTTCAGAGTACAGAGCTTTGCATGGAACAAAAACCTGTCAAATACTTTTGTGCATAGAGGTACATTTCTAACATTTAGGTAATTATACCTAAACGTATTGAGAACATAATGTTCTAGCTCTTACAGTTTAGCTGTTGCTTTCAAAAAACAATGCAGAATTAATTAGTAAATTCCATGGGAAATGACAGTGAGAGATTTGTCCTGTCCACAAGTGGGCCTAAGGGCTGTTCTTACATTTCTGTCTACTTGGTGGAATGATTCTTGGCAGCCAGTTCATTGCCATCTTCTGTGTTTTTCTTTTCAGTATGTCCCACGAGGATCACCCCCATAGCCATCCTCTCTATGGACACGGCGTATGCAAGTGGCCAGGCTGTGAAGCAGTGTGTGAAGATTTCCCATCATTTCTAAAGTAAGAAAGATTTTATTTTGTCATCTCCTTTATATAGCCATCACCTTCTACTCCTCATGATTGTGCTCACTGAATGCCTTTTTGGTGAAGTGTTTCACACCACTCTTTTGAGGGTACCCTCTGAGTCACAAACTGCACACGTTATGTGAATTGTTCCAAATTCTGTCAAGGACTATACCTTAAAGGAAAAGACTTACACCTGAAAGGAATAAAAACTTTAGTAAAAATATGTGTGTACCCACTTTACAGAGTGACAGTGATTAAACAATTTAAAATAATTTTTTTCTTTTATTCATGTCCATGTATATTAAGTAAATGATGTACTCACTACCTCACACTATAAAATTGGTGTCAGTTATTGGTTAGTTGCAGCTCATTGGTGGAGCTCTTTTGTTGTAAATCCAACAAAGGGATGCTAAAGGAAAACTATTTGTTACATTCTTATCTTTCTCTGTTGGTGTTGACTTGTGTTTAGATTCTTGTTTTTATAAGGAGAATGCAAGAAGCTTAATTTCTACAGTTGAAGTGTGACAAAATGGGTTATCCCCTTTGAACTTGATAAGTCTCTTAAGTAGTAGATGATATGATAATCTTCTCCTAACTGAAGTGAACACTATATCTTACCTATGTCAGCCTGTAGTTGAAAAACTTACAACAGAACTGCGCTGCATTTCTGATACCATCTGCATATATTTAAAATACTGAATCATTGGCCTATGGATTAAATGTACTTACATATAATCCTTCTTGTATAATCAAATATATGCATGTGTGTAACTTTTACATATAATAGTTTACAAAGTATATAATAGTTTACAAAGTTACTGCTGAGCATCCTTTCTCTGAAGCTTGTTTTCTCATTTTAGCTCCAGGGAAACTTGGGCTGATTTACCAGCAGTTCTCCTTTGTGTGTGGTCTTTATATAGTTAGAATAATCTCAATATCTATCTTTATGGACCTGTATACAAATTCTGTAATAAAGTTACCCTTAAAGATTGATCTTATGTTACCTGCAGGCAATTTTTGTGAATATAGGTTTTTTGATTAATGCACAGAATGTTATGAATGCATTTTATGGTTTCTTGTTTTGAACATTACATTCCAGGAGCATTCTTTGGTCATTGAAAGTTTAAGAACTAAAATTTTTTTGAAAGAAATGTCCAAAATTGGTTCAAATACAGTGTCAAGCTCAGCAAGAGCTAAGATGCTTTCTTTTAAATTCAGCACTGATCTTTAGCGTTCAGATTACTATTATTTTGTGTTTTCTGCATGAATCACTCATTATAGAATCTTTGTCTACATTGTATTTATAAATAAGAGAAAAAGAACTAGACAGAAACCACTTTTAATTTTTGAGTTTGTGTGCCAATCTAGGTAAACATCCTAGTGATTTATCTATACAATAGCTGGTAACCATTTATAAATATTTTTATAAAACCTCTGTAACTGTAAATTGCTGTCATTGCTCTACATGACATGCATCAGTTGAAAGGTCTGAAAAGGAAAAGCCAGTTTCCAAGTTTGACCTATTTAACATTTTCACTTATGGTCAAACTATTTATACTGTAATAATTCTCAAGACAAAAAGATAAATAGATAGATAGATAGATTTCCAGATCCAGAGAGAGTTAAATACATATGTACATATGTGTAGATATAGTTCAGATCTAAGAGAGGGAGGAAAAACATAATTTCAAATTACTTTGAATAGTAAAAGAAAATAATCTAGAGGTCATTGGAATTGGGGTCTGGACTTGATTCCTCTAATGAAGGCCTATTGATTAGGGTAGTGACCCATACCTGTAATCCAGGAGAATTGCAAGTTTCAGACCAGCTTGGGCAACCTAATGTGAGATCATCTTTCAAAATAAAATTTTTAAAGGATGGGGAGTTTAGTTCAGTAATAGAACATGTGCTTAGCATGCTCCAGGTCCTGAGTTCATTCCCAACCCCCCATAAACAACCCCAAACTGGCCTGTTCTGCTCTTAGGATATTACAAGTCTGGCTTATTGGAAACCACCTGTCAGTTATTTACTGTGGTTTTGCACATGGTGTGACATATTCTCAGTTCCTGTTTGCTCAGTGGAATTGGAATGCCCACTGTCCAGAACGAAAGCTTGGTTATTTCCTAGCACTTATTTCTTCTGAAGATATTATTCAGAAGTTGTTCACAAATTGTATAAATCTATCCTGAATTCACTTAAGCAACCAAAGAGAGAGAGAGAGAGAGAGAGAGAGAGAGAGAGAGAGAGAAGGGATATTTATTAGCTTCTGTAAGCAAGGAAATCCAGTGGTAAAGTTACCTTGAGGCATAACTGGATCTGGATGCATATAAAGTTTTTGGAAAAGTGATTATTCCCTCTATTTTGTGTTCCCTTCTTCCTTGAGCTGTTTCCAAGTGGAGCTGAAGAGGACAGATGTACATGCCCCAGTTCCACAGTACTTCTCTTCTCCTTTATTTCCAGAAAGAGCCATTGGCAGAATGTTACTGGTTAAGATTGAGTCATGTGTTCTAGTTTTGAGCCAGTCATGGTGACATTTTCAGGCTTGCATCACACGCCAACCTCCAGAGCAGAGTGTACTGCTCGACCTACATAAACCACCTTAGGTCCCTTGGTGAGAGACTTCATTCCAGAAAGTAAAAATGAGTTTTCTGAGCTAAAAAGGGGAGAGCAAATACTGTGTAAGTGTGGGGTGAGAGTGGGGATCTGTGCAACTCAGTATTTTTTGGTGCTTTCTTGAGTTACACACTGATCAATAGTCTACAACAAGTTCAGCTTCTCATTTTTCCTCTATACTATGATTTCTAACATCAGAAATTGAGAGTTGTCATCACATATCAGGGTGTCATCTAATGCAATGGAAAATCATCAACTCATAGAGTCACATCTCCCACATGTCTGCTTGATCCTAAAAAGTTGGCTTTCATGAAACCAACTTGTTTTCCCCTTGATTTGGATTGAAAGAAGCTACTAGATTTCTTGTGATACTAATAGAGTATAAAATACATGGCTTCTTGAAATAATATTACCGTGGAGTCATTGTTATCAGAGAGTGATGATTATTTCTTGTCAAATTGCTGGGTTAGTAGGTTCCAAAAGTGTCTTCACTCTGGATCTACTCTTCAGCTATATTTCTGTGTTGAAATGTTACTCATTCATCCCAGTGATGGAGACTAAACGAAGGCCTTCCCACTGAGCTACATCCCCATTCTATTTTATTAATTGTTGTAAGAGTCTCCCTAACTTGCTAAATTGCCATGGTTGGGCTTGAGTTTGTGATCCTCCTGCTTCAGTCTCCCAGAGTATTGAGATTAAAAACAAATGCTTCATCGTCATCCATCTTAGAAGTGATTTCTGATCACATAACAGGAATAGCTCATTGTGCTTGATTCTTAACAAAATGAAATGTTGCTTTGAGATTTTGCTTCATAGATTTTTTTCACCTATTTTCTAATCCTCTGATTTTACTTTAGTAATAGTTTATAATTAAGTGACACTGAACAGTGAAGCAGGCACAGTACAAGTTTCTCACATACATTAACTTACTTCTCAGAATTGCCTTAGTGTTGTGATACTGTAGTTCTATTGCAAACAAGCAACTAAGAAAACTAAGGCCTAGGTAGGTTAAGTGATTCACTCCAAGTTGCACAGCTAGTAAAGGGTAGTTAAGATCCAAACTCAGCTTTCAGAGTATAGTTTCAGAGAACCTGTTCTTCATTGCTGCACTGTACTGTCCACTTTTCACTAATGATTTACTTTCTAATTAAGGTGGTGAATGTCAAAGTTTTACAGAAAGGCAGTTTGAGGAGTGAAGCTACATACTACTGTTAAAGTGTTCTTTGAGCTAGTTATATAGTTTCTCTGAGCCTCAGTATCAGCACATATAATTTAGGACATGAGCAGGTTGTTAGAATTAAAAGGTGCATCATATAACTCACTGAGTCTGTACTAGAAACTATAAAAAGTATTAACACTTCTTATCTCTGTTTGTTTTGCTTGTTTCTTTTCATGGTACTGCAGAATGAAGCATGCCAGACCTCAAGCATGCCAGACACTGCTCTACCACTGATCTACACTCCCAACCCTAAGTATATTTTTAGGGCCGTGGGTCTCTCTCAGCAGCACAGTGCCTGCCTGGCAAGCTCAGGGTCCTGAGTTCAATTTCCAAGTATGAAAAAAGAAAAAAATCTTAAGTATATTTTTAAAGGAAGCAGTAATTTTAAATATCCAAAACTTCTTGATGTGTTTAAAAAGAGTTTGTGACTACACAGCATTGATGTATCAGAAGAAACTATTTTTCCAAAATAACATTTTTCACCATAAGTCTGTTTCCCCGCACCGTGTCCCACACAGTGAAAATTCTCAGAGCAGAGAATGCAAATGTTTTCCCTTATAGGCAAATAGTAAATATTCCAGGCTTTGCAGGACACAGTGTCTGTCACAGCCACTCACCTCTGCTACTGTATGTAACTCCCAAGCAGTCGTATACCTGCCATGATGCCAGGAGCATGGCTGTATCCCTTGGACCAGTTTTCTGGCCTCTGACCTAGGTTCAAATTTTTTTGGTGTCACGCCCTGTTTTGAGCTGAAAAATGTTTCTTGCAGTCTTTGAACATTGTCATCTTGGGTTATGTTGGTTTGGATTCATGGAGCCCTATATGCATGCAGTCACACCTTGTCATTTCATTCTTTGCTCCTGTGGTCTCAGGTTCTTCCCTTGGAATTTGGGTTCCATAGCAGAAGGAAAAATAACTTAGCCTCGTAACTGTTTTCTGGTCTTTTCTGGCTCCAGTAGTAAGATGTAACTGTGACAGAAGCCAAGATTAGTTATTCAGGATAAAATACACTCACCTAGAGTGCCACTGTAACAAAAAGTGGGTTTGAAGAAAAGAAAGGGAACTCACAGGCCTAAAAACAAGGCATATTTTCTTTTTCGAATCGAGGAAGAAACGTAACTCTTGGTATATGAAAACCAGAGATTTGACACTTTGCTGTGA